CTAATACTGCTCCCAGGAACAGAAACTACACCCTCACGGGAGTTTGCAAAAGCCTGCAAACCACACACAAGAGTTGATTTTTAGAAATGCTAAGCACACACAGAGACTGCCAACTTCACATGCAACTGCGGGGACTCAGCATCTTTGAAAATAAAACTATTAATATCTTACTTCAGAGATGCAGATGCCAGCTTATACTCTTCTTAAAACGAGTCATGCTTGCACCAAGCACAACTACAGCACAAATTCAGGGACCAGATCCCCACTGCTACCAATCTCCAGCTCCTGGAGGCAAGCAGGGTACAGAGAGCACAAGGAAGGGCCATGGGCACTGAACCACACAGTCAGGCTGACACTCAATCTGCTTGCATTACTTATCCTCAAAAAATGGTTTGTTAGGCCAATAGCATACCTAGGGATGCTGCTTCTGGCATTCCAGCTAACATATTCCAAAGGACCTCAGTAAAAGGAGACTCTTTGAAAGATGTTGCTTATAACGGCCAAGATAATTCCATAACACTCCCCCTCATCACTTTGGAGCTTCTTTAAATAAATTCTTCAGAAAGCTACACCAATTCACCAGACTTACTGATTACTATTTCTACAGGTAAGGAAATACACTCAAAAGCCTTCCCTGCAATCAGCCCATCCAAGAAGCAAGCAAGCAGGTGTGAGCTGCAACACCAGCAATTTCACTCCTTGGCTAGCCAAGGCAGCAAAATCCTACGCACCCAACCAGTGCATGCATTTTCTCCTACAATTACACAACCTCCAGCTTGGAATGACCACTTACTTCTTATCAAAGCAGAATTATTTTTAAGGCTCCTTATCAACATAAAAAGTCTAAAGGATGTCACAGAAAGGTAAGTGGTAAGGTACTAAAGACAAATGTTTCAAGAGTGTAAGCTGAGTTACAGTTCTGTAGATCCTTCCGAACCAAAGAAACATTTAACCTGAACTCAAACAAGGCCACTAAAACTCTAGGGCATCTTGTATAAACAAGTTCAGCCTTGTTTTCACTACGAGAAGAAAGGAAAGGGCCTTCTCCTCTTGGATTAGATACCACAAGATGGAATGCTAAGAAGTTTGCCAGTTTTCATACAAATTGGCAATTTCCAGACCAGACTTCCAAACCTTTTCACTCAAGCTATCAACTCTCTCAAAGTGACAGCTACGCTGCCTCATCCTCACTGCTTCTTACCTCCAGTTAGCTAATTCAATTTGGCAAAATTAAAGGAAAGCCAATATATTCCTCTACAATTTCATATCAAAAGATATTCCTTATTCCTCATTTCATTGTCACACTTTATCTCAGAAGAAACCAATTATGAAATGAATAAAGCCGTCTCCATCTACTCTGCTCGGGATCACGTGAACCTTTCTCTAGTAAAGTCACTCGTCATTAAGTGACTTTACAGAAATTAAGACCATCTAACTTCATACTTCGCACTTAAAAAACTGAGCCCATTTGGGACAGGGGTAGCTAAATCAATAGCAGAAACATATAAATGGTTTCTTCATCACCTGTTAATTTGAAGCTACTACATTAATGCAGCAATGCAACTCAAAAAGAGAGAAAAGCTGTCAATCATAATTCCTAATGGGAAGCTCCTGACACTCCTTCACCTAACACAAACACTTCAATTTGTATTTAAAAATGAGCATGCAATGAGTATATTCTCAGAGCAGTTACTTTTTGCAGGAGCCAAACATGGATAATTACAGAGTGTGCACACACACTTTCACTTCTCCCCCAACCTGCAGCTACTTGCATGAGCTGAAGTTTAGGGCACTAAATACAGTCATTATTACACCCTGAACTCTGGGTGCAGGCATGTGCAAACACACACCCAGCGAGGATGGTCAGCACACAGACCAGTATCACACCACTCGATATGAACAGCGTGAATTAGATTATCAATGAGTCACACTTGGGTACGATACATCTCAGTATCACAATATTGCAGTACTGACACAACACCCACCTGCAGCACACCCTGTCCTTGCCCTCCTCTCCAAAGCACAGACCAGACCACTTTACCACCCCCTTATCCCAGCTGGGAAGGGGAAGAGCTGGCGGGAGACTTGTGTCTGCCTCTTCTCCGCCTGCCAGCAGTGCCCGCGCCAGCAAGGTGTCAGAATTCACACAGACACCACAATCCTCAGCAGCTGGGGACCAGGGGGGCAGAAGAGACAGGCAAAGCAAGCAAAACCTGGAGGGGTGACTATCACTTGGGACTCCCAATGAGCTGAGGAATTAGTGATGAAAAAGTGTCACACCAGCCACTACCTCAGCCTTCCCAAGACACTTTACAGTGCTGGTGTACCAAAACAGCATCAGTGTAATGAAAGATTCACATCCTACTGCCCACCACTAATACAAAACACACCCAGCTTCTGGGAGCAACTTCACAGACAGCTGCAGAGCTCATTCAGCTGAACAAGACCACTGATGTTCACAAAGCTGTGTGTTTTACAGGACTTCCTGACTTCTGCACGATTACATCCTTGTAGGATGCAGGTCTTTACTGCCACTACAAAACTTCTAACAGCAAACACGTTCTGACTCAAATGTGAAGTCCACGTTCTATTAAATTCCAGACCAAAATGAAGTTAGGTAATATAACTCAGTTTGCTTTACATTATTCAGATCTGTTCTTCCTAACTTAAAACTATTATCTGAAAACAACATTATCAGCAATTTTGGCCATTTCCCCTAATCCATCCAGAGCCTCTTTATGCTTAGGGCTGTAGCACTTTTTAGCATCAAACTCTTTCATGATGGGAAAACGACTATGAAGTATTGCTGTTGGGTACTTCGCGCTTATGCCCTGCCTTACAACTTCAAAGCATTACACAAACATCAATAATTACCATATATAGAGTAAAACTGAAAGAAGTATTCATATTAAAAAAGAAACTCACAAGAAAAAACAACCACCTGTTTGAAGGGGTGAAAAAAGCAACAGAATCTTCTGTAATTATTGTATTCTTTATGCTACAAACATGTGTTATGGCTGTGCACATTCAAACAAACAAAAACTATACACTCTTGCAAAGTCTTAAAAATAAATTATGAAGCCCAAAAGCCAAACCCGAACTCCTTCATACATTTAAATTACATTTCCTTCTCCTTTCCTCCAGGAATGGGAGCTAAGTGTTCTCCAGGTGTTCCCAATAACAGTTTGGGAGGCAGGCCACCACGCTCCCAAGACAGAGTACCAGAAAACACAGTTCTCATAGAGAAAAATCCAACTTCCCCAAAGAACACTTAAGATAGCAACAGTGTACCAGCTCAGGTGACCTTAGGTAAATAACACAAAATGTTACCATTCCATTAGACCTTAAACAAAAACAAAGGGAAAAAAAAACACTAGAGAAAACCACAGAAAGTTTGTTTCGATCAATTACAGGGCACCACCTGTGTCCTAAGCAGCCCCTTTTTTTCAATGGATAAGGGCAAAAACCCCGTCACAGCTCATCCACAAACACATACCCACTCACTTAAATTTAAGGACACACACTGGAGCTTGCAGCCCAGTCCTCATTTAGAATATATTCCAAAAAGCCAGCTAACACACGTGTCCAAAGGAAGGCCCCAAACCCAACGTGAGCTTCACATGGACAAGCCTTTGGGCTACTCAGAGCAAGGAGAGGGCACCAAACTGCCCCAAAACCCAGGCACAACCAAACCCCAAACACCAACTTTGCATATGGCGCAGTGCTGCTAAAGGAGCACAACTCACAAAACCCAAAGGGCAGAGACCATCAACAGCAAAGAACCTTCTTAAAGCACACAACGTGCTCAGACATTTATTTTAGCACGGAAGGACAGCAAAGCAAGTCAGACAAGCCCACGAAACTCTTTTTTTTTTTTTATGCAACAAAGACCTGTTTCTCCTGATCATGCCTCCCATGCCTTAACAATAAGGAAGGAATATGTTTTGTGATCCCCTCCCCCATAAATCAGTTAGGAATTTGATTTACACGGACAGGAAAACGAGGAAGTCGAGCACACTGGAGAGTAGTAAAAACTTCACCAGCAAACTTCACTTTCCTACACAGCGACCTACAAACCAAACTTTCCTCCAGACTCACGTGTCATCTGCAGCAACCAGCCCCTGCCATAAAGCACAGACAAAGTTTTGCTGTTCTGGGGATAAAGACAAGCGAGGGAGAGACTTTTATTCTGTCAAGCTGCCTTAAAAGGAAATTCGGTGATGAAAGATTAAATTCACCTGGAACAACACGATAAATTTTAACCCTTTCGAGGGTACAACAATAACAAGCCACATATCTCAGGACTTAAATCCTCCACCAAGAAAACAGTACACACTGCATCAACCGTGCGAGCAAGCCCCCCTCATTGATGCAACACACAATTTACACCAGGGTTTCGGACAGGGACAAGCCCTGGGAAGGAGAGACGCTGGGAAATGGATAAATAAAAGCTTATTTTGTGCCCCGAACCGGGCCCGCTCCCTGCCGCCGCCGGGCATCGCATGTTCCGCCCCGAAGTTCGCCGGCACACTGATCAATAACTTGGCTCTGGATGGGGGGAACATCGGGAATGGCCCGGGGGTGGGGGTGTATCCCCTCCCCAGGAACGGGGAGTCGGGATGGGGGAGAACTCCGGGGAGTGGGGGAGGGGAAGGGCCTCCCCTCCCCCATCCCGACCCGGCCCTGCCCCCCTTCCCCTCACCCCCCTAAGTAAATATGCGGGAAGGGGGGGAGGGGAAGCCGCTCTTCCACACAAATCGGGCTAAAAATAGGCCTCTCGCCATGGCTCCCGTGTGCCATTCGCTGCCGAGGCCGGTGTCCCCCCCATCCCCCGCTCCATTAAACCTTTTCTCTTTTTTTTTCCCCCTTAATTTAAAAAAATGAAGGCGGGTGGGGGAGGGGAAGCCAGCGGCGCGGGGTGGGGCAAACAGGGCGGCCGCCCCCCACCCCCATCCCCGGCCCCTGCCCGCCCCCGGGGCTCGGAGCCCCCCGGTTCTTACCTTGCGAGCGGCTGCTCCCCCCTTTCCCAGGGAATGGAGGCACGAGGAATTTACCCGGGATTGTCTCTCCTCCTCCCGTGTGTTTTATACCGCCGCGTGTATATACGCGCACATCCCTGCCTGTGTGAGTGTGTGTGTGTGTACACGCGTATAGTTATCGATTATATATATATATATACACACACACACACATATATATATATGTATTTTTAAGGTGTCCACACCGAGAGGAGGAGGAGAAAAAAAAAACACCAGGAAAAAAAAAAACCAACAAAACCACCACACACACACAGGAGGAGGAAGGAAAAAAAATACCCAGCGCGTAGCGCTGTGATATTCAATTATATCCGAGCCAGGGAAAGTAATATGTGTGTGTGTGATTGAGATTGAGGAGGGATCGGGGCGGAATGTGGGAGCTGTTACTGGGGGAAGGAGCCAAGCGGCGCGGAGCAGCCGGCGGCCCGCAGACACTCCGGGTGCCCGGCCGCGCCGAAATGGGCGCCGGCGGAGGGAAGGGAAGGAAGGGAGGGAAGGAAAGGAGGAAGGGAAGCAGCGGAGCCGGGAGGCGAGGCCAGGCGAGGAGGAGCGGCCCGGCCCGGCCGCACAAGCCCAGCGCGGGGGTCGGCGAGGGGGACCCGCTCCCTGACGGCTGCCCCGCCGCGCCCGGCAGTGCGGGAGGGGAGGCGGCCGCGGGCCAAGGGAGGGAAGCGGAGGGGAGGCCGCGCGGGCACGGCAGGCCCCAGGCCGCGGAGCTTTTCTAGGAAAGACATTAAACTGCGCTGCCAACAGAGCTTATGTAAATGCAGGATGTAACATGGTGGTTTTGCCTCTCTCCTCGCAGCCCGTCGCGGTTGGCGATGGCACCTGGCACCGGGATCCAGCCCCGTGCGGGCACCCCGCTGCCGCCTCTGCCCTCTCGTTTCATTTAATGAAAATAATCCTCCGCAGCACTAATTCATGTCCTACCTGGGTGCTGCTCATTTTTACAACTGAAATGCTGTTCATCATCTATAGGGCCGCATTGTTTGTTTTTGAAAGCGAGCTTTGTTAATCAAAACCACATTCGTCACCAGGCAGCCCTTTCCATCTTAAAATGGTTTTGCAAGAGCATTTCACACTCTTGGGCGATGGTCCAGCACTCTCATGTCCGGACATTGGCACCCGTGCAGAGTCCCAATGACCACAAACCCTGCACGGATGCGATGGCAACATCCGATGTTATCCCAGCTCGTTCCAAGGCTCTCCACACATCCCAGCCTAGCTCTGGTGCTGCTCAAATAATAGGGCATCCACACCACCACACTGAATTTCAGAGCTTGATTTCACTGCAGCTGGCAGTGAATAAAGAGATGGTCATGAATGTAGTGCCTCTTTTTTTTTTTTTTTTTTTTGTGGATAGAGCATTGCCAGAGAATTATGCTAGTCCTAAGGCAGCATTTCTGGATTTTACCTTCAGTCTGACACCTGGGATATACGATAGACAGATTTTTCCTACCTGAGCATCATCACACAAGCAGATAGGATCCATCAGCTTCACAAAGCCTTGGGTAGATCTCTGGGTGTATGATCCTCTCATAGTACGCATTTTCTTCAGGGTCAAACGCATGCATTTTTCCTTCCTTTCTGAAGAAAAATATTTAAATACAGACCAGAGTTATGTAAAGAAACCTAAATCTTTCTAGAAAGCCAGGAATCATATTTGTAATTGTAAATCACTTGGTGTCCAGCATTTATTTGTGTAATTGTTTTGGTGGCCCAAGTGGGCAACTTTCTCTTCGCACTAATGGTGTGTAGGTTGTCTGCTTTAGGTATGTAAAGAGTCAATAATTTTGAACAGTATATCCAGTCCAGCTCCAAAATTTGCTGAAAGTCAAGAAATTTAAGAGGGGAAGAAAAAGTGGCAAGGCACTCATTAACACACTCACGCATTATAATCTTAGATCTGTCCGTGCTCCTAATGGAGTTTGACCTCTTGATACTCTGATTTATTTCCCAGGTGAAAGAAGATAAGCAGTAACAGTGTGTGGAGGAAGGGAAATGGGAATATGCACATAGCCTAAGGCAAGAGTAAAGGGAACTCTTCTGGGGGACTGGGGTACAGCAGGGGCCTAAAGAAGGATATGTGAGAAGTCCATGAAATGGGAATGAGAGGTGTGACGTTCACAAAGCTTGTGTGAGAAACGGGGGAGGGAGAATCCCTGAAGTGTGTGTTGTTTGGCCCTCAGGAACTACAAACACTGTCTTCCCATCCATCTGCCGAGCAGCGACAACGTGCTGAGCTGAAGTCATCTGGATGAAGGTTTCCTGGTCTGGTGCTCTCCAAATGTTCAGTCGTGGCTCTGGGGTGCCAGGCTCTCTTTCATAACATGATGACGTGCTCAACTGGTCAATTTCCTCAACTGGTCAATTTCCCAGGAAGTTCTGCTCTGCAGGATCTACAAAGTGAATTCTGGAGGATTTGTGCTTTAATAGTCGTCCCCCATCTGTTTTGTTCTGGTTTCCCTTTTTCACGCCCCTCAGGACTGCACAAAGGCCTCTCACTCTCGGTGATGAGCTTTAGCCTTTGCAGTTCTCTTGCCCAAATGTGCAGCTGGATTCAGCGCTACAGGGGACAGTTCCAGAGCGTATGGGAAGGAGGATCTCTCTCTCAGAGGTTTCCAAGAACGGATGTTGGGTAACACGGGGCAGTTGAGCAGGTTGTGGTTTACAGCAGATTGTTCAGTGAGTGAGCTAAGCTCAGCGAGTTGGCTTTGCCTTCTGGGAGAGCCACTTCTAAACAATACCTCTTGTTACACTTCCCAAAGTAGCAAGAAAGATTGGACAAAACCCTAACTTTCAGATGTATAACTGGAGCAGAACTGAGGTCTTGGTTCATCTGTGAGTAAAAGCATGCTTGTGAAGTTCTTCAGTGACAACTGCTCACGGCCAGTGGCTCCATCATCCCAGCAACTGGAAAGTCTTCTCATGCCCATATTTTTAAGACGCATCCTTAAAATAGTTGAAATTACTTGTAACAGGGAGTGCTCGGCCTACCAAGCACATATAAGCAAATATTTGCAATAACTGGCCCAGTGTTTGCACAGCACCAAGCACACTGCCTGGACTCCATAAATAATAATACTTGGCACTTGCAGAGTGGTTTCCATTTTCAAAGCACTTTAGTCATAACCCTTGACACCTATACGGCCTTTTACATCTTTACAAGAATTAATTAATCCTCGCAATGCCCTGTGAGGTAGGTATGCACTACAATAATAACAATAACAACAATTAATAATTCATGCATTCTACTCAAAAATCACTTCAGGGATTAAAATGCATCTGTAATACTTGGGGTTTATTAACATTTTCCAGCAAATAATAAAACCCATGCTATTGTGTTAAATCTATATAATATCTCTCCATAAATCTTGTGCAGATTGGAGTGAGACTGAAGGCACAGCGAGGCACCAGCACATCAGCAGGAAGCAGATGGCTGGCTCCAGAAAAGTTCAAGCCCAGTCCACACACAATCCAGGTGCCAGAGCAGAGCTCGCCACGCACGGCAGCGCGTAAATAAATAGCAGCGAAGCAGGAAGGCTCTTTGTTCATTTTTAGCTCATGTTGATGCCCGGGCTGGGCGTGCGTGACCCCATCCTGCACAAGCACAGCACCAGGAGGGTGCCGGCGCTCCTGGGTGAGGCCGGGCAGTGACTCAGCACCGCGCCAGACACGGAGCGCAGGGAGGAGCCTGGACAGCACCAGGCAAACACTTTCCATCCGCACTTTCCCTCGTAAAAATTACCACAGTGCCTTTGATATGCAGGCAAGCCCCAGTTAAACCTGATATTTAAACCAGCGGGACTTAAACCCTGTTGATTTAAACAGAAGAACCATCAGGCTCCCACGGGCCCACTCCGGGCTTGGCAGGGCAGCGGAGGGACCAGGCTCCCCACACAGAGGGATCCCCTACAAAGATGCTTTTGTCACTTTGCATCCCAAAGTGGATTAATGATAACCACAAGGGCACTTCAATCCTAATGAGCAGGTACACCCACACCCCAGCAATTCCACCGAGACTTCCTCTGGATCGGAAGCACTGAACAGTTCGGCCTAGAGGCCTTCATACTCTTAAGACCTTTTGTTTCCCGCTTAATTTGAGGGAGATATCAACTAAGAAAAAATTCCCAAACCTTTTAAATTATTTGTCTTTTTGTTGTGCATACTGAGAAAGGAAATGGAGGTTCACTGGTTTGAAGGCGGTGGTTTTATTCCTTTTGAGGCTGCTGACAATGACTCTTTGCAGGAGAGGACATGCTGGAAAAGGGCTTCTTGCTGAACAGGGAGCATCTTCTGCCTCACCTTAGCATAAATTTATTGGTGATTCATCATTTATTGATCATATATGGTAAAAAATGTCTAACACTGGTCATCAACATACCAGTACCACTAGTTTCATCAGTTGCTTTAAAGCATACAGACGGATAACCATGAGATCTACAGGGAGACCTCCTGGGACTCCTCCAGGGAGGAGTCAATCCAAAAACAATCATCTCTTTGATACACTTACCAGATCGATTTGGGAGGCTTCTGCTTCCCAGAATAAACAGCAGGAGCAGAGGAACAGCATGACCAGGTGAACAGCCCCTCATTCACAGGCAGCTGATGAACTGTGTGATCCAAAGCCATGAAGTGGTTCTTTCAGAAGTTACAGGACACGAGCTGTGCTGCTCAGAGCATGTTCAGCTCTCACTCGGTGTTCAGGCATGTGAATTGTTCAGCACCTTCCTGGCGCCCAGAGCTTCTGCTGGACACGGCTGCTGGCCCCAGGGACAATTTCACATTGCTATTTTCAAAATCTACCCCAAGAAATAGTACAGATGAACAAGGTCAGGACTGCTGCAGGATGGGGATGCCTACCAAACAGCCTGGCCTCACTGTTTTATTGCTGCTGACCTCCCACCCAGAGACCCATCATTCCCTGTAAGAGAAACACAGATGTGTGTGTGAACATGTCACACCAAGGAGAGCTTCCAGATCAGTGCCGGAGGAACAGATTTTTAAAGGAAAAGAAGAGATGCCCACTGCCTGAGCTCCTTCAAGCAACCTGCACCAGACTCCTGCACCTTGCCTTCTACTGGGCCACATGGTCCCTTTTTATTTTTGGAGAGGAAAACCAGTGGGTTTGTTGCTGCAGCCCCAGGGCCTTCCTGCCCATGGGGCAGAGAATGTCCCTGCGCACCTGAGCTCCCACTGTGGTTCCTGGCACAAGAGG